AAGAGAGTAGTCTGTTAACCACTTCCATTCCCAAGTTGGTGAGAATTTCTATAAAGGACACTGCTTCTTGGATTGAGGGTGTGCAGCTGTCAGAAAACAAAAGAGACTACCTTAACTAGGCTGATTGACATCCGTGTAATATTTACTATGAGACAGGGAGAGTGTTTTTATTCTCAATTCTTTAATTTTAAAATAATTAAGACAGGAAATGTTAGTGACATAAGGGATTGATACAGAAAAAAAGACGGGAAGATCCTGAAAGTGAATTGGTTAGGGGCAGGAGAAGCCTGACTTGGCATTTTCCTGTTGAGGCCAGGAGATTTTACTGTGATGCAAATGGGAAAGCCCGTGTTCGGTCTCTCTTAATGCTTCATGTCCTTTTGCAAATGAGACTGCCTTTAGCACAAGTGGAATTGTTAGGGTTTAGTCTACACTTAGACTACACCAGAGTGCAAAATCTTTTGTGTCTTCACAAGGCTTGTTGATGCTTGTTGATGTCCTCAATGCCAAAAGAAAAGGTTGGTGACCTTTGGACTTTTTTCACTTAAACTAGGGTGATACTACTTTTTTGAGTTTATGGGGAAAAATTATAAAGGTGGCAGGGGAAGAGTTTGCTCATAATGGGATTTTTTAGGAAAGTGAAGGCCAGCCTGTAGGAGCTAATGGGAAAGATGTGGTCAGATAAAGACATGCAACCACTCCTGCCAGTGAGATTACTTAGGAAGTCTTGTCTACATATTCCTGAAGAAGGGTTTAATTGTGTATTTGGTGTGCTGTGTCTGACATCTGTGGTTTCAGGCCCATGTAATCTAATCAGGTTGACCAATAGATTTTAGGACTGAAGGATTAAGGGAGTTTAGAGACTAATTCTTTAAATTTTGTATATTGAGTCATGACAGGTGGGGAACAAATCTGAATGTTGATTACTGAGCATACGTTAGGGTTATGTGATCCAAAGCAGTCGCACATCAGATAGGAAGTAGAGCCAACTCTCAGCACTGAGTCTTTTCAGTTACAAGTGAATCAGGAGAGGGCAATACCAGTTTTTCAAGTGATGATACGAAGAACTGGACTGGAGATGTCTAACCAGCACATCATTGGCAAAGCTGGAAATTTCCTAGGCATTTGCACACCTCATAGCAACACATAAACTACCTGCTAACTCCAGGCCTTTCAGTGAGTTCAGTGTGCAGTTGACAAAGACATTCACTAGGATTCTTGGTAACCATTTGGTCTTCCAGTGGGCCTGGTGCAGGGGGCTCCACTTTGATGACCCTTGGCCCCATGTTGACCTAGTTCAGCCTTCAGAAGATAGTTGATAAAGTGCAGCGGAAGTGGCTTCTGAGCTGCTTTAAAGCCATTGGCCATCCAAGTAATAGAAGATATTGATGCAATAATAATCAAAGACTGGCAAGAGGTTGCAAGTTTTGACTTGGACACGAATGGCCTCTGTGCCAGGATGGGTTAGGTGTGGTGGAGGAGGCAGGACTTTTGTACCAGTTCTCTAGGTGTCCCTCCCACTCCTGTGGGTCCCTGACCCTCTTCAGTGTTGCTGCTGCCTATATTCAGGGGTATATGTGGAATCCTTACCAAAATGAGATTAAAGATTGGATGAAATGTTTAAAGTACATATTGATTTCAAGTATCTGTCAAGGCCCTAGTAGGAGTAATTTCTCTTAGGTAAAGAAATTTAAAAAGCACCAAAGTACTGTTATACTGTATTGCTTACTTAGAATCTTTATTCTCTACATTCTAGGTTCGGAACCTCACTTACATGGTGACCCGCAGGGAAAAGATTAAACGGTCTGTGTGCAAAGTCCAGGAACAGATATTCAATCTTTACACTAAGCTTTTGGAGCAAGAAAGAGTTTCAGGTATGCATTAAGCCCTGGTAGGTCAAAGTATAGGGCAGGAGTTTGTAAGCTTTAACACTGTTGAGGAAGAAATAATGATTTCTTAATTTTCTTATAGAAGAATTTAAGAAGCATAGACGTTCATATTTAAAGGCAGTCTTTAATTTGAGGCATCATGTTTAAGGGAAAAAGCTATGAATTTGCCCTCTATAAATATGGGCGGAATCCTATGTTCTCTGCTTACTGAGCAAACACATGAAGGTCTTTGAGTCTCCCCAATTTCTTCATGTGCAAAATGGGGATATCTCAAGCTACCTCTTGGAATTGAGAGACTAAAATGAAACAGTGACTTATAGATGACACAGTACTTGGTAAACACATCATGGGGGTACCTAACAGGTTTATATTCAGCCATGGGTTCTATCTGTAACATGGTAAATATGGTAAATATCTCTTAAGACTGTACTTAACACAGTTCATTTTTAGATAATGTTTACAGTAGGCTTTTTTGGTGCAGATGGGTTGTTGAATATTTCTGAGATTGCGCACCAAATATTTATTTAGTGTCTTCTATTTTATATTGCCCTGGGCTAGGCAAACAGACACAGAAAACTAGGGTATATACTTCCTCTACTCTGGAGAACATATCAGTTACTTGGAGATCAAGGGCAAAGATCAAGTTGGGCAGGTTGTTTAACCTCTCTGAGATTCCGTTGATCTTAAAGTTTCTTTTAGAATCAAGACCCCTTAAGTGCGTTTGACTACATTCTGTGATCATAAGCCCCAAAAGTAGGTAGTATAACGATTTCAGAGAAGGAGAGCTGCTGAGTGTGGATCAGGCAGAATTAGGGACCCATGGAACAGGTAGGTCTTAGACTGGACATCATTGGAAGATAGCGTCTCTCTCCTGCCTTGGACTGCCCTTTAAAGTTATAGCAGCACCATTCTTGGTGCTTGCATTGTGCAATCATAGTTGATTTACTCTTGTTTTTGTGCATTTGTGGCTTTTTGTCACTCCATCTAGATTATTATGGTGCACAGAGACAATGAAGTTGTTATAACCTGTTGCGTTGAAATCCAAATTCTGGTTTCTCTAGCCAATTATGTGCGACTAGAGGGAGCTGGTTCATCTGAAGAAATAAAAAACGGTTTAGGGAGGTTTAAATGATGTTTTTGAAGTGTTAGTTTGAATGCAATAACTTATTGACATCCTTGATATTTTCTTCCCAAGATTAAGTATTTTCCAGGTGAATCAAGTGTATATTATTAGCTGGAACTTGGAGTTTAATTGTTAAGATTTTAAAAATAAATTTTCTAAGTAGGGTGTCATGTAAAAGTAGTTCGATTCAGACTCCCTAAGGTGAGCTCTTTCTTCATGATTCCTACCTGAACACAAATAAGTGAGATCTGTTTAACTCTCTTGGAAGACTGTCTGGTGCAGATCACCGAGCCTACAGCAGCAAATGCCGAGCTGGGATCACTGATGTAAGTTGTGCCTGTGGAGTTGTGCCATTGGAGGGCTTTCTGCAACTCTTAAGTCATTATGTAATGAGTGATTCCCTGTAAAAATAAGCCATAAAGAGCATTTTCATCTGGTTTCATTTGAGTTATTTCTCATGGATATTGCAGGCAGGTTTTTTGCATTTCATGGCTGAGGTTTTTACTGGGTGAGCGAATGATATTCTTAATAAGGCTGGGAGTAGTTTTGTGGTAACAGAGCTGTAATGTAGATCTGCATTCAGAAATCCTACTATTTCAGAAAAGGAAAACAAATCCTCCTTTCATTCTGAGATAAGAACCATAGGTATGATCAGTTGAAAACATTTATCTTCCTGTAGGATACTGTTGAGTAATGCAGTTGAAACCCTTTAGGGTGCTTTTTTTTCTTTTTCCAGTCCTAGGCTTCAGTTATGTTCTTATTCATGCCTAAAGGCTGTCTCCTGCCTGAAGTAGAGCAGATGGTCATGATTTATGTGTCATTTAGGGTCCGTGGTTTAAACTGTGTGATTCTGAGAGTGGGTAGGGTCATTTGGCTGAGTCCTCAGTGGCAACAGTGCTTATGGGGGGGGGGTCATGAGTTGGAGGCTCTCTAGAGACATGGGTTACAGTTAAGGAGATAGAAATCAGAGTTCAGAAAATGTTAGCCTCTTCTTACCATTCTCTTTTCCCGTGGCAGGTGATTGAGTAAAAGAAATATATTCAGTGTGATGTGAAGGTGGATTCTAATGATTGATTCTTGAGAAAGCAGCATTTCCAAACCAGCAGGTTGTGAAATACCTCTTCCTGTGGTCATGACGGCTCTGTGTTCTGAGTCGCTAGCTATGTTTCATTTGCTCGCAGTGTCTGTGTCTGGTGAGCCTAGGTTCTCATATGGCCTCCTGTCTCATACCCTGGGGCTGAACCTTGTTTTCTTGGTGGTTCATATCTTATGGGAGACAGAAAATATGAGAACTGCTCTTTCTAGATGTTCTTGAGGCTGTTGTAGAGTCATGGTCTTTATGACAAACTCTAATGAATTCACCCACTAGGGGTAACAACTCATTAGTGGGTTGTGAGATGAATTCAGTGGATCATGACCAGCATTAAAAACAAGTAAAGTATAATAGGAAATGTCAGAGTGTATTATCAAGTGATGAGGGTTAATATTATTTCGTGAAATGTGAACTCTTACTAGGTCATGCTGTGGAATTTAGTCACTGTGATTTGCATCAAAAAAATTTGAAAAACATCAGTTTAACTTACTTCCAGTTGAATGACAATTCAGTTGAATCCCACAAATGTATTTTGCACGTAATAATGAATATTTTTTGGAACACTTACTATGTGTCAAGAATTATTTTAAGGCCAGGCACGGTGGCTCATGCCTGTAATCCCAGCACTTTGGGAGGCCGAGGCGGGCAGATCATGAGGTCAGGGGATCGAGACCACGCTGGCTAATAGGGTGAAACCCTGTGTCTACTAAAAAAGTACAAAAAAATTAGCCAGGCGTGGTAGCGGGCACCTGTAGTCCCAGCTACTCTGAGGCTGAGGCAGGAGAATGGCGTGAACCCAGGAGGCGGAGCTTGCAGTGAGCCGAGATCGCTCCACGGCACTCTAGCCTGGGCAACAGTGCAAGACTGTCTCAAAAAAAAAAAAAAAAAAAAAGAATTATTTTAAACATTTCGTTATTCATTTCACATGTTTACATGTATTTGTCCTCCTAATAACCCTGTGAGGGTATAGACACTTAGAGATAGAAACCCCGGACCCTGCTTTTTGGGTACTCTTAGTCTCGTACTGGAGGCGGAAGACTGGACCGTGGAGGAGCGCGGTGCAGTTGCTGCTCTGTAACCAGGTAGAGGGAGCAGAGGCAGCCATCAACCACCTGATGGGTTCTGCATGGAGTCCCCTCTGAAAATCAGATCAGTTATTTTGTTCGGAGGAACATGTATTTATTTGAGGAGGTACAGTTTTTTGAAAAATTATGTGAGCTTCAGCTGTTTCAGAAAATGTTGCATATTGAGTCTGCAGATTGAATGGAGATTCTCAAGGCAGGTCATCTCTTCACTATAAAAACCAAATTTGTACAAACTCGGTGGTGTAAGTGTTGTGTTGTTGGGTGGGGAGTTCACATAAATTGGGCCACACTGAGGGTCTAGAATTTTATTCTTATGGATTTGCTTCTGTTGTAATTTTTCTTTATTTGTGGTTTTGTTTATAGGTGTGCCTTCTTCTTCCTGCTCCTCCTCCTCACTGGAAAACATGCTTTTGTTTAACAGTCCTTCTGTGGGCCCTGATGCTCCCAAGATAGAGGACTTGAAGTGGCATTCCGCGTTCTTCAGAAAACAAATGGGTACTTCCTTGGTTCATTCGCTGAAAAAGCCCCATAAGCGAGATCCTTTGCAGAATAGCACTGGAAGGGAAGGCAAAACCCTGCTGAAGCAGCCAGACCTCTGTGGTAGAAGGGAGGGGATGGTGGTCCCAGAGAGCTTTTTGGGTTTGGAAAAGACCTTTGCAGAAGCACGTCTCATATCAGCACAACAGAAAAATGGTGTGGTGATGCCAGACCACGGGAAAAGAAGAGACAATCGTTTTCATTGTGATCTCATTAAAGGAGACTTAAAGGACAAATCTTTTAAACAGAGTCACAAGCCTCTCAGGTCCTCAGATGTGTCCCAGAGGCATCTGGACAACACAAGAGCTGCCACCTCCCCTGGAGTGGGGCAGTCAGCACCTGGCACAAGGAAGGAGATAGTGCCCAAGTGCAATGGCTCCCTAATCAAAGTAAACTATAATCAGACTGCAGTCAAAGTGCCTACAACACCTGCCAGCCCAGTGAAAAACTGGGGAGGATTCCGGATTCCAAAGAAGGGGGAACGGCAGCAGCAGGGAGAGGCCCACGATGGGGCCTGCCACCAGCACTCAGACTACCCATATTTGGGCTTAGGCCGAGTTCCAGCCAAGGAAAGGGCAAAAAGCAAATTAAAATCCGACAATGAGAATGACGGGTATGTCCCCGATGTGGAAATGAGTGACTCAGAGAGTGAGGCATCAGAAAAGAAATGTATACACACCAGCAGCACTATCAGCAGGAGGACAGACATTATCAGGAGAAGCATCTTGGCTTCTTGATGCAACAGAGATGACACGGAAGCCCTTTGGGCTCGTCATTGGGTGTGCTAGAGGAGACCTCTGATGGAGGGAGAAGCAGAAACCCATTAATCCTGAGCTACACAAACACATTTACTTGCAATTCAGATAAATTGTTTTCCAGTCATTTTTAAATCATTTTTGTGAGAAGTTTGTGTTATTTGCAACTTGTTGAGGAAACAGAAGAGTAGATTGTAACCGTAAGACATTGCTAAGACTAGTACCTGAACTAAACACTAAAATAAGAATGAAATAAGTTTTAAAGAAGGCAAGGCTTAAATAAGCGTCATGAATTTTTATAGCCCTCTGCATTCTTCCCAAAGCACAAACTCGTGGTTACCTGAATATAGGGAACCAGATACGGTTCTTGAGAAACCCTCATGGCACCATTCATAGCCCATAAAGTTTATTTTCTAGGACTGTGGTCGATCTTGAAATCCTATTTATATTTGGCCCTCAAGGCTATTTTTGTTGCATTATAGTATACAGGCAGCAGCTCTGAAGCTTCAGTAACACTAGGAAATTTATGTGTAAATATAGCAGTCAGGGAAGAGAATTTTTAAAAGGTCATTATTGAAGGAGCTGAGGGGACAGGGTAGAGCTGCTGCAATGTGGAGATTTAGGGTAATATAGCAAGGTCCTGCTGCTTGAAGCCTGTGAGTGGGTTGTGGATATGGGACTGGTGGAGAGTGAGACTGTTAGGAAAGTTGTATCTATGAATAAGGGCAGTTGAAGTACAATTTTTACCAGTCCACTTGACCTTCTTCTTCCCTAACCACTGGCTCTTGAGCCAGCTTGGGATTTCCCTGGCCATTGCCAATACCTGGCCATCTGGCTTCCAATAGTACAATGGCTACTCAAGTTCAAGTGAAGAACTTCCAGACTCTGGTGACTCTTACTTCCCAGAGCCAACCACTAGTGCATATGTCAGGGAATCCGGGCTTCCAACATGAACGGATTCCTTAAGAAAAAGGAAAAAAAAAAAAAAAAAAAAAAAAAAGGAAAAAAGAGAAAAAGCGAAATAGGTTATATTTTAAAAACAATAGAAAGGCAATAAGTTGCGATAAGCTCTTACTATTGACCAAGGTTATACAGGAAAGAGACTGAAGTGTACCCTTGAATAGGTTTTCTGTAGTCAGAGTTCTAAACTCTAATTTGTAACTTGGACTTTCTAATTGCAAATGGCAATAACTAGTAAGTTATCAGCAATAATAAATTTAGCATTAAATTTGAGTACAATGTTTTGTTTTTGCACTCACTGTAGTGCATATGTATTAAGACAGTGGATAGTGTTTAGGTCCTGTTAATTTTCTTTGGAATTCAATGTGGTTGTGAATCAAACTTAAGGAAGGAAAGTTTAAATAGCAATGAGATACAGAATTATGGGCCTTTGGAACAAGCCCGACTTCCCCTAAATTCTCTTTAGTTTGTTAATACCAGTATTCAGATTCCTGATTCATTTATACATCTGTTTCCATATGGCAGGGACATTATGATACTTAATGAATAATGCTTTGAGTTCTGCAGTTAACTTTCAAGTCTTCCAGATGATTGTCAACAACAAAAAAGGCTTATTGAATTCCATCTTGCTATGCAAGTTTTATCAGATGATCAAATAGTAGATCTGATGCATCCCTATTGTATGTATGACATTTTCAAACCAAGTCTTAACTTTTGAAGTCATTTTAGTAGCTAATTCAGGGGAGGGGAAAGAATGACGCAGGTTTTTAGACTGACTGACTATTTTTGAGCTATGGGGCTCATTTTGAAAGACTGCTGTCCAGATCAGCTTGTTGCTACAGATAATAGAAGGTTCTTATGAATCCAAGTTGTATATTCACTTGTAGCATAATTTAAAAATTAGATTTTTTTTGCATATGAGCAAAAACCTTTTGCTGGATACAGGAGAAGGTTGGACTTTATCTACAGTTATCTTTTGACTACAGCAACAGCTCTGGGTGAGAGTAGAATTTATAGAGGGATAATTTGTCAAGCCATAGAAAGAAAATCTAAATTAATAGTATCACCTCTCACCATTTTAAGAGGTATCAGATTCATTTGCACTATTAGGAATGCTAGTTTTGTGCAAAAATAATGCCTTACCTGTTTTTTCCCCACATTTAGGTTGAAAAGCTTTCAAATGTTCCAAGTTATGCTGAACCAAAAAACAAAACAAAAACAAAACAAAAAATATTAAAAAAAAAAAACCCACACAAAAACAAAACACACAAAAATAAAAAGCCCACACTTTTTATTCCTGCTTCAAAATGCAAATGGTATAGAGCACGGTTTCTCTGACAGTATAATGATAGCTTTGTGAATTAGTTTCATGTCATGCTGGGAACTCTGTATGAGGTGGCCATAAGCAGCAACCAGCCCAAACACCCACTTGCATTCTATTAGTATGGAACCATTTGCATTTTTTTTTTAAGCTTTATCTTTCCTTGTGCATCCTGACCAAGAAATATCTTTGATTATGATTAATGTATTATGTCAAAATGTAGGCTAGTTAAACTTTTGTAAAGTTGCCTGGAATGTCATTTGTTAGGTTTTAAACACAAGATCTAAATGAAGGGTTTTATGTGTTGTGTACAAATCTTAATTATTTTGAAATGGACAAACTTGTCATTACATTTGTAACCTTGTACAGAGGATTTTTCACTATGTGCCTAGCTTGGTGTCCATTCAGCTAAAATTGAAAAAAAAAAAGGTGCATGAAGAGTTAAAAATCAAATTAAAGTATATGTAGAGATGACTATTTTATATTACATGACCCAATCCTGTATTTATTTCTACCCCCTTTTTGAAAGTATTTATAAAACTAGTTGAGGACAGCTGTATTTTTTTGTTGAACTATTTAGTAGAATTGTGCCTTTTTGTCTGTATGTGAATAAATGCTGTACATTTTGCAATACATTTTAAGTGTCTTCTGAAATCTGCTTTTGCTAAATATTTAAAGGTATATATGACTTAGCAGTCCTGAATCAGTTGTTTACTGTTGCCCAATTTAAATCAGGAATGAGAACTGTAGAGAACATATCAAGATTGTGCAGAGCATAGATTCAATGCGCTGCTTTCTGGCTCAACTCTGATGGTGGAACTGAAAAATAACGGTTTGGTTTTAGTCTTCCTCACCTGGAGTTCTTTCCAGAATACAGTTTTGGATCTGAAAATATAGAATCGTTGAAACAACATAGACTTCAGGGTCAGAGAGAACTGTATTTAAAGGCTAAACTATAGTTTACCAGGCATGTGACATTGGCCAAGTCACTGAACCGTTTTAAGCCTCAGTTTTCCCAGAAAGAGGATAACATCTTAGTATCTTAGATACTGAAGTAGTTGTGATTATTTAAAGCAAGTCCATTGAGCACCTTACAGAGAGCATATATTAGGCGTTTAGTAAGTGGTAGGCTATTATTTTTATTAGGAACAAGACACTGATATTTGCAATGTTATTTTAACTGATGAGCTTTCTGAGGTGAAAAAATACTCCTGAATGATGGGAAGGTTGTATTTATAATACAACCTTTAAATAATTTTAAAAATAATTTTTCAAAGAGCAGTTTCATTAAATGCTTTCTTTTGATCACAGAACTCTGGGACAATAGGGCAAAAAAAGAGATTATCTGCATTATACACCTTAAGACTTGGCCAAGATCGCAGCAGTAGGTACTGGCAGAACTGGGCCTACACTCATTCTCATTTCTAATTTTGAGTTCTCCCTGCCTGAAACAATCTTTTGTACATCCACTACATGCAGAAATTGGCATATAGTGAAATGTACCTTTTTCTTTATGTTGGGAACAGCAAAACTGGTGTGAATTATGTATTCTCATGTAGATTATAATGATTAGGATCCAAAACAGGATAGCTATCTTAGTCTAATTTATAATTTTTGTAAGGATTTGGCCAGTTAAAAAAAAATTATTCGTACATTTTGCTAAAAGCTTATTTCTTGTTTCTCCTTAGTGACTATTTACTTCCATATTGCTTGCTGTGAGTAAGACCCCTGAGAGAAATAACTGATTCTTCCTACAAGGTCTTAAAGTTGAATAACCACAATAGTTCCCTAGGGAAATTAAGTCCCCAGGAGCCAAAGGAAGGGCCTATCATTGGCAGTTGTGCAATCTGTGATGGCAAATGTAGCACCAGGGACTCATGTTCATGTTTTCACCCAAATCACTGAGAAAACAATTTCTACCTTTGAAGCATTAGCCATCTGCAACAAACTTCACAATTAACTTTGAGGTTGAAATCTTCAATATGATTTCCCTTTAATGCTCAGAACTGCATTAGATGATGTGTTCTAGTCTGAGGTAGGCTTTGATTGCCTGGTCATTGAAAAAGAGGATAAATGCAAATTCAATGTTACCTACTTCCTTGACTTCAACTGTTCCCTGTACTACTTATTCAGTTTGGCATCTCTGCAATCCAGCTTTTCTGGAGTGTGAAGAGATTGCTTATTGGGCATCCCCTCTTGGATGTATACAGGTACTTGAGATTTTGGACCTCTTTCTATATCCTGTTTTAGAGAATGTCCTCCTAGACTGAAACCTGGGAGTCCTTTATGAATTCTTCAGCTCTCACAGCCAAAGAGTGATCAAGGCCTGTGTATTATATTTAATACTGCCTTGATATTTTTTGTTTTGGATCCCACCACCATTTGCTATATAATTCAGGCCTCTTCATTTTTTGCCTGGATTACTGACGCAGCCACTTATCTGGTTTCCTTGACACAAATCTTACTGAAATTAATCTCTCCAGCATTTGGCTGAAGCCTTGCCAACGGTATCTCCATAGTGATAACTTCTGAAATAAAAGCTGATTTTGTCATTCCACATAGCCTTTGGGGAAACCGCCTGACTTCTGCAGATAATTACAAAGGTTTATCAAGTGGCAAGCACTGCTATGTAATTATGTTAATTAGTTTAATGCTTATAATGTGAAGTAGGCACTATTCTCTCCAATTTGCAGATGAGGAAACTGAGGCACAGAGAAATTAAGTAATTTGCTCAAGGTCAGTAGGGGTAGATCTGGGATTCAATCCCAGCCCGTCTGGGATTGAGACCTGTAGGCTGTACTGCCTCTCAGAATATAAAAATAGTTCACACACGGCCGGGCGCAGTGGCTCATGCCTGTAATCCCAGCACTTTGGGAGGCTGAGGTGGGAGGATCCCGAGGTCAGGAGTTTGAGAACAGCCTGACCCATATGGTGAAACCCTGTATCTACTAAAAATACAAAAAATTAGCCAGGTGTGGTGGCGTGCGCCTGTAATCCTAGCTACTCAAGAGGCTGACGCAAGAGAACTGCTTGAACCTGGGAGGCGGAGGTTGCAGTGACCTGAAATCACGCCACTGCACTCCAGCCTGGGTGACAGAGTGAGACTCGGTCTCAAAAAAAAAAAAAAAAAAAAAAAAACCAGAGTTCACACAAAGTAGTTCGCATATTTTTGAGTATACTGAGGACTACATGTGTAAACTTCAGTTAAATGAATTGGTAAAGTTAAATTTATTTGTAAAGCCAATAAACTTGGTTAAAACATGTTAATGCACTGGTTAAAAGACTTTGAGTATAACCTAATAGATAATGTGCAGGATAGTCTGCTTATGGTCAATTAGTTCCTGCCTTATTCTAGGAAGAATGGAATTAATTTAGTCACATGCATATTTATATAACACACATACATACAAACATATTTACAGATCAAATATATGTATATGTGATCAAAGAAAACACTGCTATCAAAGAATAAAGGGAATAACTGAATTCTCTCTATATCCTAACACTGCTTGGAAAGTTACAGAATTATTTAAAATCACAGTTTCTTGATGTTGAGAACTAATATCTTAACACTAAATTAAAGCTATGTAAAACCTCCAAGTCAGCATTTTTGTGATATAAAGTATAATAAATCCAGTTATTTTTACAAATGAGTAAGCAATGCTGAATTAAGTAGCAAAGATAAAAATAATGTGTGTTGTCATTCCTAATGTATTGCCAATGTGTCCTGATATTCTCACTACTACTTGGCTTATATATGGCTGAGTTTTAAAAATTACATTTATAATTATGGGTTAATGTGATTATTTTACTCACTAATCTGGGTGATAGTTCTAACTTCAGGATCATGACCAGTGTAAAACAATTTCTTTATGAAGCAAATCTTTTTCTCTGGTGTTTCCCTTCCCATGCAACAGTTTCAAAGAGAGCTTTTCTCCTTTTTCCCACCAATTTTGGCTCTAATTCAGTTCCATCCTTGGAGCTTCTCTTTTTTATATCAAATGCTTGTGATGATATCTTTGCCTCAACTAGTCTCAAGTACTCTAAGTAAATACCTTTCAAACTCCATGCTTTAAAATATCACACTCTGAAAGGAAATTATACATTATATCACTTTACAATAACTAAACACAATTTAACATTTTTTTGGTCGATTAAAATTGGTGAAACTGTCATCACTCATTGAAGAAACCTGGAAACTTTCAAAGGAGGTATTAAGCTAATTACTATAACTTCCTTTGCTTCCATCTATTTTTTTCTACTACTTACATTTAGGTTGTGGCCAATTTCTTTTCTAGGTCTGAAAAATTTACCAAATCCCACTAGATATGAGGATACTTTTTTCTAGCAAGATTTTTAGGTATATATACATAATCTGAAAACCAAAAGAGCTTTTTGGGTAGTGCCAGTCAGAGAGGGAATTAAAACAAAAAAAGAGGCTCATAGCTCAGACTTGTTTTAAGGTTGATGAATGAAAAAGTGCAAGTAGAATTTTTCGAAATCTATTTGGCATCTATATATCCAATCAAGAACGCTGATCCTTGAACTGCAAGGACAGAGTGGACACAGGTAAAATCATGAGGGTCACTTGAAGTCTAGAATGTGTGAAGCACTTATATGAGAGCATCTAGATGTTTACAGTAGTTCAAGCCTCCTAACCCAGATGAATTACATCCCATGACACTTGGAGAACCTATAAAGGTTATTTTTGAATCACTGTCAGCAAATGGGAGAGGTGTCAAAATTATAGATTCCTCAAACTCTAAAGATACAACGTTGCACAATAGTACAATTCTAGTGTTGACCAGATCTGGTCTGAAATCCAGCTGTGCCACCTGCCAGCTATGTGACCCCGAGCAAATGACTTAACTTTT